ATGCTCAGGTGGTTGAGTGGCTTTACCCTTAGAGATAGGATACGGAATGAGCATATACGTGAAAAGGTTGGAGCAGTTCCAGTAGAAGATAAGATTAGAGAGAGTCGCCTTAGATGGTTTGGTCACATAAAACGGCGGCCTTCCGATGACCCGGTTAGGAGAGTAGAGGTATTAGATTTGACTTATGTTAAGAAAGGTAGGGGTAGACCTAAAAAGACTTGGCTAGAAAATATTAGGAATGACCTTTATTTATTAGATTTAAACGAGAATTTGACTTTTAATAAGACACAATAGAGAAATGATTCATGTAGCCGACCCCACGTAGTGGGATAAGGCTTGATGATGTTGTTGTTGTTGTTGTGATAATTAATACTTAGTTCCCTTCTCAGCGTGAGGGGCTTGATGGTCCTTCCATTAAAATGATATTTGGATTATACCGCTGACACGACCACCACCTAGCCTAGACCTAGGTAGCTATATAACTAAACATAAAGAAGATTTCATCAAAATCTCATTCTCATGAAATACAATGTCAAATATTTAACCTAATGAATTACTTAGTGATTCATAACAACCGATGAGATATTCATGACCATGACGTTCAGCTCAAATGCATAAAGGTGCAAATATATTATCTTGAGGCAAAAAAAAATTTACTGCATGCTTCATCCGTCCTGTTTAAACCAACTTCCATGTAAGAATAACTTGACTCTCAGATATGTTTTCCTAAATCCCAAGGTATTTAGCCTCTCAAATAATTGCCCAAAAGCTCAACTCTACCTAAACCTGTGTGCTCTTAAAAAAAAAAAACATGTGTGCTCTTCCATACGCAGTTTGACGTTATGTTTTTGCTTATAAACAGAAAGACATCCTTCATTAAATGATACCTTCATTACATTATGCAACCTTTTACTAAATGATGTATTATGCTTATCTATAGGATTAATCTTCTTGATGAGGTGCACTCTCAGCGGAACACAGACAAAACCTTGTAAATTCGGCAAAACATTTACTATAGATGGCTTAACCAAAATCTCAGCTGTTAATTAGTAAGTTTTCCACAGCATTTAAAAAAGACTATGTAAATAACTAAACAAGATATTTCTTTTAATTTTCTTACGATAAAATAGCCTTTAAGCTACATTAAACGTAACTTTATTTTTTATAATATTATCAAACCCTAAAAGGGAAATTAATCCAAAACACATTGTACTTAACACGAATTATTGGGGGTGGGGTGTTACCAGGATAGGCATGTAAGGCCTCTGTGGCTCCATATTTGCTCGCTTCATCAGCACCAAGCATTATTACATGCCCGCCTCTTAGTTCATCCTGCTTGTACAAATCTGCAAACTCTGCTGCTGACTTGTCAGATTCAAAGTTGGTTATAAGAGTATTCTTTTCAGCTGAATCCTGAAGTGTGGAACCCACAATTTGCTTTACCTTGCCCTAGCAACGCCAAATGCACTTGATTGTAGAAGATAACAATAGATAAACCAGTTAAGAAAGCATTTCATTGTATTGAATACTTGAATAAAATTGAGTTTAAACTTTTCAAAAAAATCAGACTAAATTACTGAAATGGACTATACAATGAAACCAAGAGGAAGAAAAAGAATTTATAAGGGAAATCAAAAACAATTATAAAAGGTAGAGTTAGCACGCAATCATCAGAGAGAAAAAAGGTAAAAAATAGCACACGTCAGAAGAGGGTTAATGCGAATCTAATCATTACATATTCCCCAAAGTAGCGCTAGAGAGAGAAACATACGGATTTTAGAGAGAGAAATTTTCAAATTTCAGTCCCTTATTTTGAATTGGTAGTTTTTTCGGGCATGCCGGCTGGGCATCTGGCAATCTTATCCGGCGGGGATTCTTCTGCCGGAACCTACAACACAGCTCTCGTCCACTTTTGGATCGAGACTTTTCACCTAAGAATGCTCAGTTGGTTATCAAAGAACCAACTTTCGTTAAATCGATTTCACCCAAACCTGTAATTGGCAAAGGCAAGGAGATTGAAGAAAATGTGGGAACGGAAACTTCTCGACCTGCAATTATTAGCAAATCAAGTGGTTTTGAAGCTTCATCTTCAGTTGGTATGAGACTTTTTGTCAATAGGTTTGGTAATGTTGTAGCAAAAGCGGTTCCTATCTCGAAGGTAGTCACTTCAATTCAAACTAATGCGGATGATCCATCAGTTGTTTGTGGGATTGCTCAAGTTAATTCTTTGGTTGCTGAGGGCCAAGGAGTGAAGACTAATATAAGTTTGAATGGTAATGATGCTACTAACCCGTGGAATAGGCGACCTTACATAAAGGTCGATCTGTCTAAGGATGAGCCTTTTTTGACGGAAGACGGGACTACTGTGAAGCTTTATGAACCTAATGTGAAGTCTAATTCTGACCGATTATAATTCTCTATTGTGGTGAAGGTATTTGGGAAAAGTATTCAAGTTCATATGATCGTTGAAGAGCTACGTTGACAGTGGAGTCAGTTTGGTAAATTACATTTGACTTCTCTTGGATTGGGATGGGTGTTATGTTCCTTTTTTTTCAAAGGATGCAATGGAGAATATTCTGTCGGGAAGCCCTTGGTTTGTTAATTGTCACATTGTTGGTATGGATAAATGGAGTTCAGATTTCTCTCCTTCATCATTAAAAGGCTTGAGCTCTCTGGTTTGGGTTAGGATGTCCAATCTTCCTCTTTATTGTTGGGATGAAGTCAATGTAGCTAGAATTTTTTCTTTAATTGGAATACCTTTATTGATAAATGGTAATATGTTACAATGGAGTAGAAGAGAGTTTGCTAGAGTTTGTGTGCGGGTGGAGCTAGATAAGCAACTCCCATTGGGTGTTTGGGTGGAGGTTTAAATGGAAGGTTTTTTCAAAATGATAAGCATGAGAAGATCTCCTCATTTTGTTACAAATGTGGAAAAATTTGGTCACTTAATCAACTCATGTGGTAAGGAGAAGTTGGGAGGCAACGGTGAAGCTGCTGTGGAGAAGAATAAGGAGTTGGCTATTGATACTTCTTTTGATGTAGGCAAGGGGGGTCAAATCAAATCCTAAATTTTGGTTTTGACTGCTCTTGGGTTTGCTAGCTCATTAATATTTTGAGCTGAAATTTAGCTCATTATGAGCTGTTTTTTTAGTTCATTTACTGAATTAAAAAGGTAGCTCATTATGGTGGAACTTAGCCCTTTCTCTTCCTATATTTCCTCTCGGTTTCCTCTGTGTCTTCTTGGTTTCCTGTGTTGGCTGGTTCCCGTGCCTTGGCCCTTTGGTTCCCATGGATGGCTTTTTGGTTCCCGTGGCTGGCTAGCTGTTTCCTGTGCCTTGGCCCTTTGGTTCCCATGGATGGCTGCTTGGTTCCCGTGGTTGGCTGCTTGGTTTCCGTGGCTTCTCTTCTCTGTTTCCTGTACCGTATGGGGGCTGCTGTTTGGTGGCAGTTTGGGGGGGAAATTTCTTGGGATTTTCTCTGTTTTCTGTGCAATTTTCATGCAGCAGATTTGTTGCCTTTTGGCCTTCTATTTGGTGTATTTTATTCTTCCATATTCCTTAATTTAGGTGGCTGTATGGATGCCCTTTTCTTCTATAAATAGGAGATGTTTTGAGGCTTAAAAAGAGATGTTATAATGGTATTTTTGTAACTAAAAACCTGAGAGGTTTTTTCTTCCTTCTTTGGAAAAGCTTGTGAGCTTGTTCCGTGCTTCTCTTCTCCTCTAGGAAAGCTTGCGAGCTTATCCTCCCTTCGTCTCGGACTTCTTATCCTCTTCTTCTATCCGCAATTATCCACCCTACTTGTATCCTTCTTCTCAATGGATGAAATGAAGTTTTAGGTGTTTAAGGTTTTAAAAAGTTTGTAAGTGTCTTGTAAGCGTCTTTTATATTATATAAGTTTGTTTTGTCTAGTCAAAGTTCGTAAGCATCTTTATATTATAAAAAGTGTCTCTTTTTGGATATATTTGAGTCTTTCTTTTATCTAGCAAGAGTAATCTTTTGTTAGCAAAAATTTGGGGCCCTCTCCCAAATTTTTTCTTGCATCAAATTTGGTATCAGAGCAAGTTCTTATCCCGGTTTGTCGAGTAAGTCTTGGTGAGTCATAGTGTTAACCTCTGTAGAAATCACACAAAGAATGAAAGAAGCCAAATCTAGCGTATATACCTCATGTCCGATGGATCCACGATTTCTGCCAAAATCTTGCAAAAGTCCCGCTGAAATCGGCGCCGCTCTCGTCAAGTCCTCCGCTATTCCCGTGAACCTGCCTCGATTCAACGACCGCAAATGTCGTTAAATACCGAACGAAGCCAAGGCGTTGGCTCTCGGCTTTCCCACGCAACGACTCTCGCAGCTTCCCAGATCCCGTCTCCTCCCTTCGTCTCTACCCGATTCCCCCTTCTTCCCGATCAGAAGCCCCAACCTCCACGATCTTCTCTGCTCTAGCCGACCACAAGAATCAAACCAAAATCCTGAACTCCTCCACCCTGCTCCAGTCCAAACCCAAAATCTGTGCCGACATCTACAGCTGGTCGGACCTTCCACCTTCCCTGCTCAATCCGGAGAGAGAGGGAGAGAGAGAGAGAGAGAGAGAGAGAGAGAGTAGTTCTCCCTAACCTGCCATAGGCTAATTCCCTCCATCTCCTCTTCTCTACCCAAGCTCCTAGTCAAACTCCTCACCTAGTTAGTTAAAATTAATTATAAATAATTTTTATTAATTATAATTAATGATAAATAATTATCATTAATAATAATTAATTATTTTAATTATAATTAATCTAAAAAAAGATTCTTTTCTCGTGGCTTGCAACTGCTGGAAAACCCCCTATGTGCTCACGTAGCGTTGTAGGGGGGAAAACCGACGCGGCGCTTGCGGCGACATAAGAATTCTCCTTCAACGCTAGCAACGAGCCGGCAAACCCCCTACGCGCTCACGTAGCGTTGTAGGGAGGGAAACCGGTGCGGCGCTTGCGGCGATGGGGATAAAAAAATATAAATATATACATATATATTTAATAATAAGTACCCCGAACGCTCACGTAGTGCAAAGGGGGGAAATCTGTGTTTTTTTTTTAATTTGTGCTCCAAATCCTTAAACGCGCACTTAGCGGGCGGGGATTTTAAAATAAATTTGCAATCGCGGCGTCTTTTGACACATACCTGAAGCGCTCACGTAGCGTCGATGGGAAGGTTGCCTATTGATTTTTCTCCTAAATAGGGGAAACGCCGGGAGGCTGCCGAAATTTGGATCGAAGATCCAAGGACTTAAACAAAAAAAATGAGCTTGAACTTGGACTTGTTTGAACAAAATGAACTTGGTGCAAAGAACTTGAACCGAATAAGACTACAGAGGACTTTGACATCGAATTTGAACCCAAATATGCAATGAATTCAAATCCAAACTTAAACAAAATGAACTCAAATTTGAGCTCAAATGAATATGAGCTTGGTACAAGAATTCTTAATTTAGACTTGAATAATTCAGACTCAAATTCAAAAAAGTTAAGTGTGGTGGACATTAAACTTGAACAAGACTCGGACTGCAGAGGACTTAGAACATGACTCAAATCAATTGTGAACTCAACTTTAACTAGATTTTGAACTCAAAGAAGACAAATTAAACACTAATTCAAACTTGAATTGAGCATAGACCTAACTCAATTTTAAATAAATTAGTGAGACTTAGCTAATTGCATGGTAACTTGAAGATATTGAACTTAAACCATGCAATATCAAGTGGATTTTAATAATAAACTATGCTCAGTTTGAAATAGATTATCCATGAGAATTCAAGGCAAACTATGGCACAAAGAACTTAAATGAATGTAGAAGACTCGTACTGAGTTTTGAACTCATGCATGAATGGAATTTGGACTCAAACACATACAAAAAAAATAGAACTCGAGTCTTATAGAAGGAAACTCCATCTCTATCACCAACAACGATCCAACTCGAAGAAGATACATCAAAGAAAAAGATCAAACTCAAATGAACTACAAGGGAGCTTGGATTTGAATGTGATATGGTGGCTCGAACATTCAATCAAATCAAATCTTAAATGGGAATGAACAACACTCATATATAAGCATATATTAAGGCATCCCTACAATCTACTAAAAGCCAAGATGCTTTCACAACCAGCAAATCAAATACCTAGCAGGTATCTAAATCTCCTACAAGCAAGAGATTGTTGCTAAACAAAGTTCCAAACATAATTTACTTGGAAGAATCAATCAATAATAAACCAGGAATTGAATTCAACCTTGAAGCGACGAGCAGAAGATCTAAATGAAGATGTCAAAAGTTATAATCATTCAAATGCATCCAAAAGAACATCTTATGAACCATATAAAGATAATGAAAGTTGATGTGTATATCAATCATATGAGCAAATATGATTGTCCTCTTGCAAATAAAAGAAATTGGTACACATGATAGTGGGTTCGTAACCAA